CTCAGATTGTGAGTCGAGCGCCTTATCCACCTGGCCATGCCGGGCTTGGCTGTAATTAAAAGTTATTCATTTTCATGTCTTTCAAAATTAGATGTGTATATTTTTAAGTTTCGAAATCGTACTAGATTTGAATGGAATAATTTCATCGTAACAGTTATTATTTTCAGAGATACAATATATTAAATATTAATCAGTATTTGACTATATTTAAAAATTAACACATACGAGCAAAGAGTATTTTATTGAGTTTTGGTTACTCACGTACAGAGTTTAAGAGACATATATAGCAGAAGTTATAACATAAAAGTAACCAATTCAAGCAAAAAACTTAAATCATCTTTCAACATACATACTTCGTTTCACATCGAAATATTGTTATTTTTAAACTCACAATCTAGTGAGAAAAATAACTTGGATATGTTTACTGTTAAAAACACGAGCCTTGCTTTTAGATAAAAAACAAAACAATACAGGAAGCTTGTGTTTACTTTATTTTTATAAACTATATATTGAGAAAATCATAATAATGAAGTTTAAATAAAAACAAACTGACAAAATGTGGAATGACTAGTATACACTGACAGGATCAAATATTTCTTAAATAATAAGACATTGAAGAAAAAAAAAGAAATAAACACAATAGTTTTGTTTCTTTGCCTTATAATTATCAAACATTTAACTAAGAATTTACTTCTATAAATTCAAAATATGGTAATAAGTCTTAACAGGATAGCATTTTGATGCAGTAAAGTTTTTTTCGAAATTTTTCAGATACGTAGATATCAATTATAAATTGAGATTGTACTATATGAACTGTTTCCTATATAAAATACATGCGCTGAAACTTGCTAATCAGCCACTAATCACAAAATACAATTTTTATTGTGTTTTAAAACTGAAGAGTAAGTAATATTGTTATTGAATTATATGCTGTTTTGTTTCGTTTTGTAACTGATTATGACACAAAATATGTCATGGTTTATTTACATTACATATCAGGCGACTTATTTCGATGTTCGAAGAAACGCATGCTCTACGAAAGAACAAAAATCTATCGATTGGCCCCTTTTACACCAATCAACTTTTTATCAAAGAAGCACGCATAAACAGCAGAAAGGTATTGTAACAATACTTTGTTGCAGAAAAACGCAGCTGGACGGCACAGAGCAATAGTACAAACACAAAAACACGCTCACTTTTCACTTGCACTCAAGTAAGTATCTAAGTTAGATACAGGTAAAACGTGGCACGTGGTGTCTCGTATCAAGAGATTTGATGTTGGTATAGAAATGTAAAACAAAGAGATTCAAAACAGCAAAACATATAATCAATACCACAAGCATTTTGAACATTGAATAACACTGGACAACAACAAATTTGTTACTGGAGAAAACTCAAGTGATTCGGGGTAATTTGATCGTGCTGATTTCAAAAAATATATTCAGAATTTCTCTATCACCTCTAGTTTCTGAATTAATGTAATATCTAAATATTTTATCAGCACTATGTGAAATACCATGCAATCGACTCAGTACAATAGATTTATACTGTGAAATTAGGTTTACTTGGACAGTTTAATGGGTAAAAGGCATACATTTACGATAACTTCAAACACTGACTGAATTGTATTGATGTAAAATTCGAAATATCTTGTTAATATATACTATTTGTTCTCGATGTAATTGTAGCGAATTGCATCACTTTTGCTTCATTTCCACATTCACCTGCTCCACTCGGGAATCACGAAACCCTCGTGTGCTCAGTTTGCTTGAACATTCGAGAGGTCCTTTGACCGAGCATAAAAGGGGGTAGAGTCAGATGTCTTTCTCTCAGTTACTTCTCACTCACTCACTCAGTTGGTCACTTCGCCTCGCTCCGCGCACACTCAAAACAAAGTCCGATCATGTTCGTCGCATAATTTGTTCTTTAAAATCTTTTGAACTCTAGTTCTGTACACATAAATTATTTTATATGTTTTAGAAAATCGTTTGAAATGCTGGCTGCCCCAATTTCAAGTAAAGTCCGAAAGTACAGAGATCATCCAAACAGTTCCTGCTATGTTTGTGGAAAATATATCACAGAGTGACCAAGGAAAAACATCATACAAGAGGTAAAGGTAGCTTACTACCACTATTTTGGGTGTAAAATTGGTGATCAAGAAAAATATTGGGCGCCACATTGGTGTTATAGAGTTTACACATCTAGCTTGACAAAGTGGCTGAATAAGAAGAGAGCAAGTATGCTATTTGCCCTTTTCACGATATGGCGTGAGCCCAAAGATAATCTAACTGACTGTTATTTTTGCATAAATAATATTTCTGGATATTCAGGCAAAACTAAACAATACATTAAACATCCAGATATTGCATCTGCAATGAAACTAGTACCTCATGGAGATGTTCTTCCAGTGCAACATCCACCAGTGAATTGGGAACAGAAGAGTTATCCTGCGAAGAGGACAATGAATCCTCTTCATCCACTTCATCTAGTAATTTTGATCATACAAGAAGAACTAACTGTTCTGATTTGTGATTTGTATCTACAAAAGCAGTATGAGGAACTTTCTGGCTCTCGTTTACTGTAATGAAATTTATTTGCTTCAGGAACACGACTTTCAATTTACCGAAGACACCATCAAAGTCTTGTTTTTCACTAATATATACAATATATTTTATGTTTCTGTACAAATGTTGATGCAATAATGGAATAATTAGGTACTGAACATCATCCTTAAGAATGGAGACTTTTTATTGACTTATCTAAAATTAGTCTGAAAGCTGTACTATTGCAAAATGGGAACACTAAGCCATCGATTCCTGTTGCTCGTGCTGTGAATATGCAAGACACTTATCAAAGCATTTAGATTATACATTCTTAAATGCAATTTTTAATGAATAAATAAAATTATTTGCAAAAACATTTTTTCACGATACATAACAATATTTTGAATAAATCATAACTCGAAAAATGAAGGTGATCAGTAATTTTCAACATGAATTTTAGAATCAGCATCATCAAATTTCTCAGAAACAGTTGCATTTTTGTAGTACCAGAGAAAATGTTTTGTTGTTGTCAAGAGTAATAATTAATTGATACAGAAGATGGTTATTTCTCTTTCTTGAAATGTAATATATCACTCTATGTTGTGTAAATTGTTGTTCAAGTAAATTTCAGGCTAACAAAAGATTTCTACATGTCATGGAACCTTTTGATTTAAAGCAGGTTTTTTTTAGTGTGTTTGTAGACTTAGACATAAATAATCAAATTCATATACAAGCTTCTCCAGAGTGACAGCAGCTCTGCAACTAAAATCGGTGTCGATTCTGTTGTTAAACGGAACTCGTTACTTCTTCAATAACTGAAATTTTTCTCTTTGGTCCATGCAGGAAGCCCGTATCATCACAGTGATTATATCTTGTGACGTCATAAAGTTCAGGATGAGCACAAGTCCTTCTCGGAGAGTTGTGCCACCGCATGTCTGGAGTGGGGACATTTTCATTCAGGTTGTTCTCGAATTCACTAATCATTAGAAATTTCTCCTCCTTATTGCAGGACGTGATACATTCAGCAGCACACCACTCATCCAAAAGGTTATTTTCTCCTAAATCTACAAGTCCTTCTTCGGAGATGCAAGTCAAAAGCTCTGGACGCTTATCGTCATCGGCTACATCTACCGATGTCGCAAAAGATATTGTTCTCTGACATCTTCTTATTGGCGGCGCCCTCTCACGGCTAACGTTATTGCCACAAGTGCAGATATCAGTGTTACGCAGAGTCAAACATCGTTCAATTTCATAACGGTCTTGCTCTTCTATGCTATTGGTCGTTACTTGCGGTTTTTTACTGATACTCTTTCGAAAGTTCATAAGAAATAAAGCAAGAGTCCCTGCCAAAATGCACCCACACGAAAACATAAATCCTGTCTTTGGTCCTTGACTTTTATTGATGTATCCTACAGAACAAAAGGAAAGAAACTGAATCAGAAGTAAACTTTCGATATAATATTTTAAAGTTGTAAACTTGTCTCTGAAAATGATCACCTTATTTGTTCACAAAAACTGAGATATCAGCTTTCATGAGATATATATATGACAGTTCTCTCCAATTTCTTAATAAATATATCACATCTTGCTTGCTTTCTTATTCTTCTTAACTAATATGTATGAAGTGTTAGCAAAAGGCGTAATATGAATGAAGTTGCGATCTTTAATCGTATGAGTACTTTTATTCTTTGTTTTAAGAATCAAGAAACCTCATGGAAAGTATGTAAACAGGCTTGTTTGTAAACAGAGGATTAATATTTTGTTATAAGAAATGAAAACGAATGAAATCTGGTGGTTGAAAGTGTGTTTTGGGTATGAAATATAATTATCGTTTTGAAGTATAAACTATAATATTTAAATATAATATTTATTTTGTAGCAAAATGTAATATTTTTAGTATAAGAATAGTGGATACGCTAATAGTGGACGTTTGTCAGCAATAGAAAGAATATTTATTAGTATAAGAATTTATTGTCTTTCATTAGTATGAGAATAAGCTTTTGTCAGCCTAAGATGGAGATTACTGAGCGCAGGAATTGACATACATAAACATAAGGAGTTTTTATCACAAGATAGGCATTCAATAACATAACACTTTACGAATGAATATTTATAAGTACGAGGATGGACGTTTATTTGCACATGAATGGATTTATATTTTTGTAATGATGAATGTTTTATCAGTACCAAGTTCAAAAAAAAAGCTTCATTAATACACGCATTTACTTTGATTCGTGAAAAAATAACTTCAAAGAACACAAGGACGAAAAGCGACTAGTAAAAGAATAGACTTTTATAAGCACGAGAATGGCTTTTTTTGGCATAAGGATGAACTTTTATTCCTACAAGAATATACATTTATCAGCAAAAGGATGAATTTTATTAGCACAAGTCTATACTTTCATTTGCCAAAGGTTATACATTAATAAGCTAGGATCTTTATTAACGTACTGATGGACTTTTATCAGCAAAAAGATATAGTTTTGTTCCAAGAAAAGTAGTTTTAGCACAAGCTTAGATTTTTATTTGTACAAGAACAGACTGTTATTGGTGCAAGAAAATGTTTAAACGTTATTTTTAAACAGCAGAAGCATGGTAAAATATTTCATGAAAATCATAACTAAGGTTTCATGATATGTCAAAAAAATGTGCAATATTTATTTTGTTTTCTCAACATGTATGATGATTGTATAACTTTAAAGTTTTCCAATAATATGCTCTCCAGTTTCATAAAAGATCAGAAGACAATGTAAAGAAATAATGACAGTAATTAAATTCTCCTCAGGAATGTAACGCTTATGTAATTGTTACCGATGTAGATACCATTCCTCACTCCACCAGGCTGTTGACTGAGGTTTTGAAAATTGTCTTTACCTTGCTTTCATAATCAAGCTTTAATGACAGTAGCCAATAAGATGAATCATCTGGAGTTTCTAGCCCTTCCAGAAGTTCATCTGCCTATGGCTGTGGAAATGTGTTCATTCACTGAAATTCAATATTCCCTAATTCTCCTTGACATTAACTATTGGTGATGACCAAACACTTTCTAACGACTGTCTGATACTCTTCTCATGCTGGCTATGTCCGTTGACAAACAGGGCAGTTGAAATTGTTTTTTTGTTTGTTTCTTTCAAAAGGAACAACATCCTCATTACATCCACAACTTTTGCATTTCATAGAAACTTCACAGCTTCCAACTAAGACTAGGGTAAACATGACATTCTCTCAGTCAGTATTGAATATATATAAATTACTTTGCAAAAGACAACGGACTTTAACTAAAATCGTTATACAAGCGGGGGAAGAAATAATTTCAAAATAAGATTTCTCTACAACATGTAAACCAATGAGCACATAAGTTGTATTGTTCGAAAGCTCTAAAAAGATAATTTCATTGTTTTCCAGCTATTGTGATGACCAAAACAGCCACTTATTTATGTAGAATCGACTCCCGTTATATAGTTAAAACAAAAAGTATATTAAATTATAGTTTATGTTATAAGATACCACAGATAACAGAGTGTTTAAAGATGAAGCTTTTTTCTCTTTGATGATTCGAAACATTTTTCAATTAAACAATACATGTAGGTTCCTTACCTGTAACAGGAATTCCAATTAATATTGGAATAGACTGTGACCACTGAAGATAGCTCCAAGCACGGTCAAAGTTCCTTGGCCTAACCTTCTCGTATAGATACATTTTCAAGCTGTATTGATATCCTCCACTGAAAATTCCATATATCCAAACGAATAATACATATCCGTGGTAACCATTCACAGCGCAAAATGACAAAATGGCTATTACAACTCCAAACATGGCAGCTTGACATAGATACTGACGAGCTATCATACACTGTGCACTGTTCTTCAGAATGAGCAAACTGAACGTGCAACACCCTACTATATAAGCAAAACCTTGAAAAATCTGGAGAAGGAGTATAGAAACATCTTCTAGACCTTCATCTTTGGCTATATGAACCTGCAACAAATAACACGAAATGTTTTTAATTACATGCATGACTGACTGTCTTACGGAAGATATTTTTAGTTGTTGTTAGTATAGTTTATACATTTATATAGTTGGAAAATACTAGTAAAGCCCTTCTCTGACTGAAGAAGAGCTTTCCACAATGAACTCCTAGGAACTTACTAATCCTGATCTAGTTCATCAACTAGTGTGAGGCCTGTACATTCACGTACATATACACAAACCACGTACTGTCTATAATAAATTTACTGATTATACAAAACGGAAACTTCTTTCGCATCACGAAATATATCTTATTTATTTATGAATTGGTAACAGTTTAATTAACAATAAATACTTAAAACTTCGAAATAAAAAGACAAAAAATGGCGTATGCCATTGTATGTTCTTTAATAATCTTTTTTAATGATTGACCAAGTGGTTAGCTTACGGGACTGCGGATCTGCGGAACCACTGTTCGAGTTCCGTTATCGTAAAAATAATAGCGCTCCGCATTCTGAGGCCATGGGTGCGTTATAAGGGTGGCAGTCAAATCCCACTATTTGGTCACACATGAGTAGCCAAAACGTTTGCGGTGGATGTTGTTGGCTAACTACCTTTTTTTTTTCTAGTCTATCATATCAAAGATAGGTACAGCTAATTCAGATAGTCCTCGAGTAGCTTTGCGCTAATATCCGAAAATAAACTTTTTTAATTCTGTAAATCTTCAAATTTGAAAGATATGCCAAAACAATTCTAGTGATTTTTTTGTAAGATTATCATTTCAGACTTGTCTCATTTAAGGAAAAAATTACGCTGAACGGAACACTCAAGAGATAATTGAAATTTGTAATATAGTAACTATGATAAAGCAAAACCATTGTTATAAAACAATATCACTCACTTCCATCAAACCATTTTTATGCAAACTAAGCATGTAACATCCATCATGTGATCCGAATTATAGATTATTGCTCTGTCAGATCACACACATAGATAAATGTTGTAGAGCTGGTGTTACGTCTTTATAACTCATGACATTCCATTTCAATATAGTGAATATCCAATTCATTAGCGTTAAAGCTTGGGACGGGGGAGGGAGCATAGCCTGATGGTTAGGTTACTCGACTTGCATTGTGCGCATCGCGGGAACAATCCTCGTCGCCGAACATGCCTCCTATTTCAGCCGTGAGGGCTTTATAATGTGACGGTAAAATCGAACTATTCGTTGGTAAAAGAGAAGCTCAAGAGCTAACGTCGTTGGGTAATGACGACAGCTGCCTCCCCTCTCTAATTTATCGCTTCAAAATTAGAGACGGCTAATGCAGATAGCTCTCGAGTAGCTTTGCACTAAAATTCAACGAATAAACAATTAAAGTCTGGTAAGCATTCAAGCTACTCCACTTGGCGAATCTCTTATTTCTCAAAAGAAAGTTTCATCAACTAGATTATCGTCAAAGCCAATTGCACCAACATATGATAGCATATGAAGGGTTGTAGGTTGTTGCCCTATAATGTGACATTAATGGTATCACATTGCGAGGTATAGGTCAGTGCATCGACCAATTCTTATTCCTGCACTTACCATATTTCCACTATCACTAAATTCGTTACAATCTTAAATGAAAATGGTGTTATATCTAGTTCTGTGTTCCTTTCAAATACGTAAAAAAGCCTGTTATTTGACTTCAGACTGAGCTGTAAGTCATCTGTGTAAAGAATGTTCTTCCATATGTCGTTGGTGTCTACTGGTCGTTTTCTTGGCACTATTGCAGAAGAACTGTTTAGTTTAGAATGCACCTCACTGAGCATCGTGTATAAAGGTTTTACACTGACGCCAATACTATAGTTTACTTCGCCATGTTGGACGTCAAATGCTTATATTCGTCTTAGGTGACAAACAACAAATTTTGCCTTTAATGTCGCCGTAATTCATCTTAGGTATGTACATAAAGAAATATATATCGAGAAACTGAAGAACCGTAGAGTTTCGGAAACACGCCTTTCAAAACATGTAAAGATTTACCAAATCTTTTATTGATTTATATTACCGTTGGGTGCTAGAAAGGAATGTTTGAAGTCTAATATGGTGGCATTGAATGAAAAAGAAGGCTCTGTGACCACTATATAATGATGACTTGTGAAATCTGTTTCTAACCATTTGTACACTGATGTATCATCTAATCGCGGCTGTGAAGACTTGATTCAATGTCGGAACGATTGTAGTGAGCAAGAATCATGAAAAGACTATCATTTACTTGTGTTGTTTATGATCGCCTGCTTTGTCTACATGCCCGAGCAACTGTACCATTGGTTTGAAAGAGACACATTATTCTGTTAATGACACTTTGAGACACTTGTAGTCAAATCACAACAACTTGTTTCTGTTCGTCCAATGACTTTCACATGAGTGAAACACGTCTTCTTTGAAATTTAGTTGTACCTCATGAATAACTTGGATCATTTTCAGCTCTGTGACTCACTATGTGCTGGTAATTAAGAAAAGTCTATGTAAGGTATCTATAGAGAGCATAGTATGAATAATGAATTATCTGCATTCAACTTTAGACCTAATATGCAGAACCATGATTGAAAGAGCGATTAGCGTTAGTTTATAAGAGTGGTTTTTGTCGTGTCCCAAGTTCTTAAATATAACATTAAAAATTCTAAGTATCTTTTAATTGTTTTGTGTAGTGTATTAACCAATTGAATGCGACTACTTTAAATATAAAGTGTACCAGCCATACGCCGTATACGGCACACTCGCATTCAACTGCCGGAGGCGGACCGTACTCTACACGGCGAATCAGTTAGAATATAATATTTAAAACTTTATTGAATCTATAAAATAAAGGTCTTCTGATGATTATGAATCTTTGCGAATGGAACATATTGATTTTAATGAATAATTGATATCAACAACTGAAGACATTGTTAATGTCTTTAATCAGAATCTGGAACAACGAGCTGCCGTAACATAGAGTGAACGTTTTACACGAAATAAATATTTATATATTTAGTTTGATGGGTAAATATTTATAGGGAATTCGGTCTTTTGTGTTTACTTGTTTACATGAAGATATAACTTTTAGCTTGCATCATTGTTTTCAAACAATAATACAAGAAATTACAAAAAAAAGAGAGTGAATTTGTTATATTTTGTTGACTTTATGTTTACTGGGTAATTAAAGTACTAAAACTAACAATTCCTAAAATATTTTGAAAATGACAAAGTGACTCCTGTGGGTACAAAAATATATTTTTATTATGGGATTGTGTTTTTAGAGAAATAGAAATTTTACTTGATTTATAAGAAGATGTAGTGTTATTAGAATAAACAAATAGCAAGAAAACCGACACTACGTGAGACTTTTTCAAAAAACGAAAGTTCATTCTTATGTAGCTGCTGCGTTTATATCGTAAAAATAAGAAAAACTGAAAAGGAATTATTTGCTATGATAAGTTATTCAAAAGTTAGCTCACTGTGTCCCGACTGTCTATCTGATCTAGACAGTACTGTTTCCCTAGCAAAGTAGGCTTTCATAAATTAATGGGGTTAGTGTCATTTGTCACAGTCATCTTCAAAACGTCAAACCTCACTATTCAACAACCATCAAATCATTAGTTTACAAGGCTTTCTCTAGTGATTTAAATAAAATGGAACATTAAATGTGTGATAGACGTATATGCTATATGTAAAATCTGGCGAGAAAGAAAAGATTATTTGATAGCTATTTAATTAGGTAGTTATTGTAAATATTTTATACTTTCTGGCTTTTACACGGAGCATTTAGTCTTAGGTTAGGCAATAAGCTTAAGAAATATCAAATACGTAGTGGTTAATAATTTATCAACGTTACTTTAGAACTCTTTATAGGCATTGCTTTTCCAAACTATATGCTACATGGATATTTTCACTTCAGCATAAAACACACTACGTACATATTTTAAAGTCAATAGAAGTTAAAATTCAATTAGGTGTTTTTCATTGTCTTTGCATACATATACAGGGGTACATTAGTTCGTCAAGTGAGAGATAATGGGCTTAACCAAGAGATGAAGTGTATGATACTTATGTAAAGGATGAAGTAGGAAAGCAGAGAGAAATGATGAGTCAGAGCTGGTGTGAATCAAATCTAGAGACAATTTTCATGACAGTCTTACACCTTCTAAAGAATGTTTTAAATGAACACAGAGCTTCGAACTAAATTGATTGCTAAATTGGTTTAGTTATAGTATATAATTAATAAATACAGACATGTATATATGCACTGTAATTCAAGTTTAACGTAAATAATTGTATATAACATGTGGAGAGTGTTACAGCAACGGACTAACTATTTTAAAGGTAATGATAAAATAAAATATATATAAAATACTACAATTTCCTTTATTATACGACATTTGCAATACGGCCACAAAATCTCTACAGTAACATAATTAAGTTAAAATATATATATTTTATACAGATTTTAACTATAAAAGTTGACAAAAATGTAAGATTAAACTGACGTTTTTAACAGAAACAAATTTAGTTTAGTGTTTATATAGTAATTTCTGGAAATAAGCAATTTCTTGTGAAAATTGAAAATATGCTAGAAATGAGCGACGAAATTTTTACTTGAAGTTATATTTCTCTGTAAGTAAAGTCAAACTTACCATGTAAAAGTAAGGTGTGTATAACCCAAAGAATGACAGTGACGTTGAAAACATTATTATTTGAAAGCTATATTTCTCTGTAAGTAAAGTAAAACTTACCAAGTAAAAGTAAGGTGTGTATAACCCAAAGGATGACAGTGACGTTGAAAACATTATTATTTGAAAGCTATATTTATCTGTAAGTAAAGTAAAACTTACCAAGTAAAAGTAAGGTGTGTATAACCCAATGAATGACAGTGACGTTGAAAACATTATTATTTGAAAGCTATATTTCTCTGTAAGTAAAGTAAAACTTACCAAGTAAAAGTAAGGTGTGTATAACCCAAAGGATGACAGTGACGTTGAAAACATTATTATTTGAAAGCTATATTTCTCTGTAAGTAAAGTCAAACTTACCAAGTAAAAGTAAGGTGTGTATAACCCAATGAATGACAGTGACGTTGAAAACATTATTATTTGAAAGCTATATTTCTCTGTAAGTAAAGTCAAACTTACCAAGTAAAAGTAGGGTGTGTATAACCCAAAGGATGACAGTGACGTTGAAAACATGATTATTTGAAAGCTATATTTCTCTGTAAGTAAAGTAAAACTTACCAAATAAAAGTAAGGTGTGTATAACCCAAAGGATGAAAGTGACGTTGAAAACATGATTATTTGCAAAGTTTTTGTCTTAAGAGGCGAAAAGTCTAAAAAGGGGGGTTTTTCCTGAGAAGAATTTTTGTCTTTAACTTTTCGTTTCTGATTCTTAAGATGAAGTATTGCTCTACGTTGGGGATGGTACAATGAGGCTGATCGGTAGAAAATTCCAAGAACAAAAACTAAAAACATGACACCTGTTACAGCGTGGAGCCCTAGCCTCCAATCCAACAACCTGAAAAATCAAACAAAACACACTTAGGATTATATTTACAAATGAAACTGGAACGTAAAGAGTTTTCATAAATCAGAATATTGCTTCCAACTTTAAAGATATCATCATGCCTAACTACTATATACCAATTTCAACATACGAAAACCTAATCCACATAAATCAAATGAGCTAAATCAATCAATAAATTATCTTGAAAACACCGTATTTATTTTATTTATTTATTTGATTTGACAATGAATACATATATATATTTCTTAAAAACAATTACGAATTAGATCATAACAAAATATTTATCAAATGGCTCTCACAAGAGAAAACTTGAAAACACTACATTACAAAATCTTTGCTCGATTAACACTAGATACTAATACATATATAGTATGTTATAGATATATAAAGTGTTTATGATGCATGTTTGTACACAAAACCGGAACTTGGAAGAGTGAAAAGTATTAAGAATTTGTAGCCGTAAACTCCATACAAGTGAGAGTACGTGATTATTAGATTAAGTTCTTCTAACTGGTTTGTACTGTAAAATATGCTTATCATAATTTAGCTTTTCTACTCTGATTATTTTTCGTTCAAGTTATACTCTAACAAATAGTCTTCAGAAATGTTAATAAATATCTGGTTTATTAGCATTACTGCATTGCATTCAATAACGTATAACTTGGTGCTGTGTATTTCAGTTTTAATTAAAACGTTGGTTTTATTGTTTTAATTGATAATTTCTACGCTATTTAATCTTAAATTTGAATAAAGGTTTCAAATTGTTTTAAGCATACGTTTTGTAGTTGTTCACTTTGGATAATACATGGTACTATAAAGTTACATTTTAACGTATTTTAAACAGTTTTCTTATTTAAAGTCATGAACATCATACAAGAACAAAATTAGCTTACGTATGCATATAATCGAACTATTATATAGATTTACGCTTTACATGAATAATCATATACTTCAAAAACAACTTTGAAACACTGATAATTCAGAAGACATTTTTAAACTTAATCTATCTTACTTTGTTAACAAATTTACTCTTAAACCTATAGATAGATCTAATTAATCATAACGCAGATTATCTCTATAATATTCTGTGAAATTACTGGAGTTTAACATCAGTAACACCTAATTCGTAACATGCACACGTACTGATTTATTAAATATAAAGATTAAGCCTACTAAACATGGACGTAAAATCTTGCATGTGTACGTATAAATCACATCACACTCAACTGTGGTAATGTGTGCGTATAGATCACATCACACTTAACTGTGGTAATGTGTATGTATAGATCACATCACACTCAACTGTGGTAATGTGGACATATAGATCACATCACACTCAACTGTGGTAATGTGGAAAACAAAGAAAATTAAAAACTTGAACAAAGATACGGCGATTCAGTGATTGACAAACGTATTGAAAATCAAAATAACCCTAAGATATATATATAAAAATATTCAAATAATCAAATATTTCATAATGTATAATCCTGAAAATAGATCTAATGTTAATTAAGCCAGTTTTCATAAAATACATTTAACTTTCAAGAGTTCAAGTCACTAAAAATTAAAGATTTACAATACCGTGAAAAATAGGTTATTTCATTGGTATATTTGCTTTAATTTTGCCTCTTCTTTATATAACTCATTATGAATTATAAGCATATATTTACTTATAATATTCACATGGAAAATCTAATTTCTTTAGGAAAATAACCATGCTCAGAACTGAGACAAAAACAACTTAATTAGTTTTAATACACTACTAAACTCTCACTGAATTAATCATTTTCTTTGCTTTATCAAACTATCAGGCTAGATTTAATGGAAATAATAATATTGGTATATTAATATGTAATGTTTATTGTATCATGAAACAGTCATTCAGGGTCATACATTTCATTTTAAAGAAAAATTGTAATTCAACACTGTATATGCTTCAAAGAAAATTATTCTTACAATTATATTAATTTCCGACCATTCAACAAGCAATTACAGAGTTTCTCAGCACAAATGAAAGCGGAAGTTTTACTGATCGAACGTTTCCAAGGAAATGTTTATATTTATGTTAGCAAGAAGATCGTAATTACTGTAGCTCTGTGCCACCCCAGGTTTTATTTGTCGATATGAACTGAAATACTATCGACGAACTGTAGATTACGTCCTTCTTTTTAATCATTCATTAAGAATACAGCAAACACTAAGAAGGCTTTGTTCTAGAATTTAGAAAACGCGTACGATCAATTTTATCTTTGATTACTTTTCCAGTAAATCTAATATTTGTTTTCTTTATTTCTTCAGAATGTTACAACGTTATTAAAACATCGCGATTAAATACATTCTTGTAAGTGCAAGGACCTCGCCCAGTTATTAAACGTGTGATACTATCAAACTTCTGTTGGCCAAACTGTTCGTCGTATTTCAATCTTCCTTTTTTAAGACAAAGTAAAAGCCATGTAAATGGCAGAATAGACAGTAAAGTTGGTTGGTTTTAAAATGCCATTAGATAAGCATTGCAGACAAGATCAATTTCATATTTCCTCCGCCTCGTGCGAGGACATCCAAGAATGTACAACTAGTCGAAAATAAAGATATTTTTCAATTCATTGACTTGTAAGTGCAGTATAAATACACGTTTATGAATGCTTATTTACATATTTATACAAATGATTCTCTATATCAGTGACTTGTAGAAGCTAAGAATGAATCCATATAAGTAGAATCATACATACAAATAAATAGCTTTCTCCACTATGCTCTCGAACCCTCAATATCCAGAGATACTTCTCCAGAGAATTTGATAAGACAAATGACTTTAGTGATTGGACAAATTCCACATTAAGTGACCGAGTAGCCTTTGACTACAGTTGTAGCTTAACAGACTAACATTCATTGATCTGGCGCCATGTCACTCAAGGAAGTGAGATGCAGTCTCTTGGCGTTTGTGGAAATTCAGAGAGAATGAATAGGAAAGTAGATAGTTCATACTGTTACCAATACTCAAGAAATCTAAATTCTGCTTAATGAAAAAATGATGTTAGTTCTTGTAGCTCAATGACATCCATTTCATTTTTAGCTTCGGATTTTTGTTGTTACTAATGGAATCACTAAAATCTAATATTACTAGCTTAAGCCTAAGATACAGAAGTGAATATTATAGATATCTGCTCACGCAAAAGGTAAATATACCGAGAAATGCATTAAAAACAAATAAAAGAGCGACATCTTGTGCGTAAGATACGGTATGTAAAAGTGCTTCATTCTTAGTTTCATAATTTTATTTTCAGACGATTTACTTTTGAAGTTCTAAAGCACCCATACGCTTTACCACATCAATGCAAGTTCCATATTATTTGACTACTTGTGAAAGAAATACATATACATTTTTGGAACGACTTTTATAAATCAATATTGCGAATGAAGTTTGATATAGACAACGTGTTCACCAGTATAACGTCCTAAAATTGATTATGTGAACGCATCTAACAAATGTTTACAGTCTTAAAGTTGAAATATGTTGGTTATAATTTTGCATTGTCGTACATCACGAGATTTGGGTATATAATATACTGTTTTTTTATTTACGAGTAAGTACTTGAAAATGTAAAATAGTAATTTTTTTATATATATTTTAGGACCTGGCAAGGCTGATTAGAGCACTCGACTCGCAATATACGGGTGCGAGTTCGAATCTCGTCGCCGAGCATTTTCCCTTTTCAGCCGTAGAAGCGTTATAATGTTATAGTCAATCCTAGTCTTCGTTTCTAAAAGAGTAATCCTATAGTTGACAGTGGGTGGTGTTGACTAGCTGCCTTCCCTCTAGTCTATCACTTCTAAATTAGGGACGGTTAGCGCAGATAGCTCTCGAGTATCTTTGCGCGAAATTCTAATCCTTAATGTAATTCCCATGTTTCACATGTGTGTGTGTGTATGTGTGTCAGTTTGGCTGACTAACGGTTAAAACCAAAACGAAAGATAAGTAAGCCAACTCCAAACACCCTATTGTAACAAGAGGTTTTCTTTTTGCGATTGCGTTTATAAAAAAAAACCATATAGGAGCGAACTTTGACACAAATGTCCCTCCAGCGGATCAGTGGTAAATTTGTCGACTTATAATGTTAAAATCCTTTAAGATAGATTCTTCCTGGTAGGCAGAGTGCAGGTAATGTGTTGTGTAACTTTACGCTAAATCAAACAAACAATCGACACAAATGACGCTTTCATATTTATAATGAATGATTTTTTCCAGACTTTCAGTTTCTGCTACAAAAACATTTTGTGGACATATGAATAGAGTTAATATCTTAAAACCTTGTGTATCTAGGAAAACTGTGTTTTCCTTTTACTCATTATAGGCCAGGTGTGGCCTCGTGGCTTTATATGCTAAACTGTGAATCCGAAGATCCGTGGTTCACGACATGTCCACAAAAACGCTTTCTGCACATTGAGGCGTTCGGTGCGCTATAAGAGTGAGAGTCAGTTCTCACTATTCAGTTAGACAAGAGTATCTCAAGATTTGGCGGTGGATGCCGTTAACTAGATACCCTCTCTCTAGTCTATTGGAGATATTTATGTACAAAGAGCTTTTTGTGTAACTTTGAAAAAATTCTGAAACAAACAAGCCTATAATCATTATGCTTTCTATTGTATAACATCATTTTTAGAAGGCTGATGGCTACAATTACGCATTTCTGCTCGATAACGCAGTTTCACTTGTAACAAGTTTCTGCGAAGTACAGCGAGGTCAGGCTTAGACCACCCGTATTGACGAACTTTTCACTAACCCTCCACTCTCATGGACATCGACTTCTAGAATGATGTTTAAGCAGGTCAAAGGTATAAAAGTCCATTAGAGTCGCATACGGAATTCGAATTGTCATTAGATTGTTGTTATTCTAGCCCCTTCGAACAACTTTCTCAAAACAATAACAAACAACAACAACAACAAAAAAAGCAAAAAAAATACAAGCCGCTGATTCGAGACGTATCTGTGAGCTTTCGCAAATTTAAAATATTTCTTTATATTTTTGATAACCGGGCCTACATCAAACTTAATTACAATGATATTTTTGGATTGAAGGTTCTCTGTAGTAACCATAGCTTTCACTTTGTGGATGTGAGTATTTCTTTCGATTGACTTGGGATGTAGTTTTGTAGCCAATTCCTGTACTAAATGTGCTATTGTTCAGATTCTTCAGTTGCTGCTCCCCAGTGGCACAGCGGTATGTCTGCGGACTTACAACGCTAGAATCCGGATTTCGATACCCGTGGTGGACAGAGCACAGATAGCCCATTGTGTAGCTTTGTGCTTAACTTCAAACAAACAATCAATCTTCAGTTGCTATG